ACCTAAGGCAATACATTTATCATCTTTATCTTGTAAGAGCTGAAAGAAATTTCTCAGTGCTAAAGCCCTTTGAGACAGCCCTGAATGTACAGTTTGGAATAGGAGAGGAATACTTGGGCAAATATAAAAATAACAGTTTTAGAATGGGGATAGCATTTTTAAATTATACAAGTACTTTTTGCCTTTCTAAGTGCATGCTCTTAACTCTGGATCAAGAAATCAGCAAACATGTTCTGTAGGGGGCCAAACCGTAGATAGGTTAGTCTTTTTGTGGGCCATACAGTCTAGCTTACAAGTATTCAACTCTGCCACGGTAGTACAAAAGCAGCCATAGACAATACATGAACAAATAAAGAAGGCGTTATTCCAATTACACTTTATTTATGGGCACCTACATAAAGACTACATTAGTTATTCACAAAACAAAGACTTCCTATTTACGCGGGACAACCAAGCTATGGCATGAGTTAAACATTTACAGGCCCACAACACTGTTTACAACAAAAGTTCCCTCAAACACAGTCTAACTCTTAATATTTAGATACCATTTATTCAATTTGTGAAACCATGGGATTAGAAAGTCATATTGAGCCTATATTATTGTCACAATAATTTAAGAAGAAACATGTGAAGTCAATGCTAAGAACATAGATAGGCTTTAGAGTCAGTCAGATGTAAATTCAAATTCAGGTTCGTCGCGATATTGGGTAAACAGAACATTTCTACATGTTTCTTCATTTGTAAAAGAGGCAAATGGTTTGTTTGGACAATTAAAAGATAATACCTATCAAACTCCTAACACAGTGTTCAGTAAGGCACACAGTACATGCTCAAGAGATGCTACTTTGTTTTCATTGTTGGGTGAAATCACTGCTAAGTAATTTTCACTTTTATCTGTATAGAAAGACCATCCATATCATTGGGGTTCAGTAGTCCATTTCACTGATTATAAATCATTTTGTAGTTAGGAAAATCACCCTAATGTAATGTCATTAGTTTAATTGGGAAGCCCTGTGATTAATCTGATATAATAACAGATGAATTATACAGTGGGATCCTCCAATATCAGTTGGCCCTCAGTGTATGTTTTTATATTTGACTTGCCACTGTGACTTACCCTTTGCATCTCTGTGAGTTAATGGTATTTGTATTGTTTGTATATGTATACTTTAAAAATTAATATTTATTGAAGTATTAAAAAAAAGGCATTCAGATGACTTACGGAGAGTTCCATCCTCATTACAGTGTTCAAGCAAATATAATTTTAAAGTTCTCCTTAAAAGTTTTTTTTTTTAAAGAGGTAACACATGGTACATAGGACAAAATGTAAAAAGTACAAAAGACAACAAGGTTTTCTGACAAGGAAGTTTTCTTCATCTCCCCACTACATACTCCAGTCCCACAGTTGCCCTAAGCAACCGCTCGGACGCACACACACACACACACACCAGCACGTGTGTCTGTGTACGGACACACGCTACTCACACTGTTCTGCACCTTGCTTGATTAGAGTATCCCCGAAAATTCCCGTATCTCTGCATATAAAGTTGCCTTCTATTTTTTTAATGGCAGCTTAGTATTTCATCAGAGGGCTAACGCCCCGCCTGATTTAACCAGCCCCCGGGGACGGACTTCCAGGTTTTTTCCTAATCGTTTGCTCTAATAAGGAAAACTGCACTGCTGCTTGTAACTTAATCTTTACACCGCGATTTTGTTTTCTTCCGGCACGGCCGAGAAGTGATTCTGGGGTGCGGGGGCCTTCCGGCGCCCCCCGGCCCCAGGCCGCGGCAAGTGCTTTCGGGGCCGCGGGTTCGTCCTCCGGCACGGTCGGGAAGCCGGCCGCGTCACCCACCGAGCGTCGGGCTGTGCGCGCCCGAGCGGCGGCCAGCGCGCCCGTCGCACGCCGATTTCTGGGGCGGGCATGCGCGGGCGGCAGCGAGTCGGGGGGCAAGTGGCGGCTTGCTCCTCTCGCGGCGTGTGTGGAGCCGCGGCGGCGGCGCCATCTGGGGTATGCGGGCCTGGCGCGCAGCGCCCGAGGAGCCTCTGCCGCGTACCGTCCGCCCGCCTCGCGGGAACGCGGGGAGGTGTTCAAAGGTGTCGCTGAGAAACAGGCGCAGGCCGGGCAGCCCCGCTGCAGAACAATGGGTCCTTTCAGCCGCCCCCTTCGGATGGAGGGCTCGTCACCATGACAACCAGCCCATTATTGGAAGTCGGAGCGGGTCCTCGCCTCAGACGCTCTCCTCGCCCGCTCCCCTCCCCCGCCGGCCCCGCCGTATGGTGTGTGTGGCACTGGCAGCTGTTGTCAAAAGAAGGCACCTCTTTGTCTCCAGGGGATGAAAGACATTTGGTTTTCATCGCCACCCGCTCCCTCCGCCCGACAACTTTTCTCCGCGCGCTGCACCCCGTCCCCAGAAGGCGCCCCTGGATATGCGAGAGCCCGGGCCCGAGTCGCCCCCCCCCCCCGTTAGCTTTGGTGTCTGTCTCCTCCCGGACTCCGTCCCGCCGGAGCACTTCTGCCTCTACCTCCAGCTCTTTGAGTCACTAGAAGTCTCACTCTCAAGCGGAGTGTTCCAAGTAGGGGAATTCACTTCAGAAATCCCGGGTTTCTCCTCGCGGCTCTGCTCGCGGAGTTCCCGGCCGGCCGCTTCTCCCCTCAGACCCAATAGCACCACCTTCCGTGGCGAGGAGCTTATTGCCGAGGCCGCCCCGTTAAAACGCCGCCCGGCGAGTTCACGAATTGGGCCTGTTCACCAGGGGGAAGACTAGTCGCTTCACGAGACGAAGGCCTCAGTTTTAGGGATGTCGGGCTCAGGCAGCTAGACGACCTTCTGGCTGAAGGCAAGGCGACACGATGATGGAAACAAGAGCCTGTGTTTTTCTCAAGCTTCTGAATGAAATGTAGGATTAAAATATGTTGTAAGGTTTTGCATTACCTTTCATGCATACCTAAATACGATTTACTTTATTTTTTTTTCCTGTGGAAGAGCTTTATAAAAATTAAAAAAATGAGAAAAAAGTCTGGCTGACCGTTTGTCTGGGATTTGGGGTTCAAGGAATAGTGCCCCCGAACCTGTAATCTGCAACCAGGGATACTTGGAACAGATGGTGTTTTCCAGACCTACCTGGAAATTGGAAAGGTTACATTGGTGAGAGAAAAAGCGGGATCAAGAAGGAGGAGGGAAACAGTGGAGAGAAAAATGCAAAAGCTTATAGTCACCAGTGTGGGGAATCTCTGGAGAGAGTAAAACCAGGTTTGCTGGGCTATTTTGGAGATAAAGATAAGCTTAGGATTCTGTGTGGATCAGAAAAATAATCAGTATTCATAAAATCTTATCCTCCAAGGGGTAGATACTAGAGGAGGAAATTTGAGGATACCTGCTTCAGAATTCATTGAGTCTTTCTACTCCTACTTTTTGAAATAAATTAAAGTTTTAAAAGGGTATTTTTAAAAACTTTGGGAATGTCAAAAGTGTAACAAGTGAAAGGGAAGGAAGTTCAGCAGGTGACTGACAAGAGATACATTTTTCTGGTCTTTGCTTTGAATTACCAACAATTACTTTTGGTAAACAGGAAGCAGCCAAGTCTGGCACACAGGAAACTAGTATTTGCTAAGTGAAGGTTTGTTTTTTTCCTGTGAGAATAATTTTTATCTAAATAACTACCTAGAAAATAATAAGTATGTTACTCTGAAAACTTCTCTTTACAATCCAGGCTTCTTTCTTTCCTAACATTACTGAATAAGTTTTGGAGGAAATTCTGTCAATTTTCCTGTGAGATTTGATTAATATTTCCCCAGTGATTTCAAATGAGAGTCACAATAGTGTCATGATTTGAAACCCTAGTTATGTAACTTAATGGGTTTTTTTTTTAAGTGTTGAAAATTGTTGTTAAGAAATAAAAGCAATTTTCCTTTTCTGAAAAGAATACTCATGGCTATATCTGTAGGCTGACTTATACCAATAAATACATCATTTTATTATATTTTGTTACACATGGAACTATATAGAAATACACTCTCTAGAGCTCAGTGGCCACCATGGGGATTAAGACAAGGCCAAGTAGAACTCCAGGATTCTGATCCCCATGTCATTCTATTTTATCTGTTCTCTATGTAAGTTTTCATTTGTCTAAAATATTTCACTGCTAAAAAAGAAAGAAAAAAAGACCATTACTAGTAGAAATTTAGAGTTGGAAAAGATTTTTTTTTTTTTTTAAGATTTTATTTATTTGCGAGAGAGAGAGAGCACAAGCAGAGGCAGAAACAGGCCTGATGCAGGGGTCGATCCCAGGACCCTGAGATCATGACCTGAGCTAAAGGAAGACGCTTAACCAACTGAGCCACCCAGGAGCCCTGAGTTGGAAAAGATATTGAAGATAATTTAGTTCAATTGTCTCATTTTACAGGTAACATTTTGATCCAAGGAATTTATCTACATAACCTACCCAAGATCACATGGTCAGTTTGTGGCTATTTACGACCCTGTGACTAGTTGCCATCCTACAGTCCTTTCAGATCAGAGCTGACCACATTGTCCCCTTCCCGGCCATCACTTACCAGATCTTCTTGTTACTATGGACATGTTTTTGTCATTTCTCCTTATTTTAATCTATCTTGTGGAGATTACATAGAAGCTATCTTGCGTGGCTTCCCTGTTTTCCAGTCAGCCTTCCCTAAGCCTTTCAATTCCAGACTTCATTTAAAAAATATAAACTATTCATGGACTGTAGCTGCTCTCTTCGCTCCCACTGGCTGTGGGCAGCCTGTTAGTTGTCTACCCAATTTCCATTCTCCTGTCTTCCTCATTAACAGAGTCCCATTTGGGAGGTGGGTGTAGTCACGTGCCCAGTTAAAAGTATTCCCAGGACCTCCTTTATCTCAATACTGAACAATAGAGCAAAAGCAGGATCTCTTGAAAAAGCTTGTCAAAGGCAATTGACTCCCCATTGGCTCATATATATTTGCTTTTTGTCTTTCCTCCTTCTTGTTGCCTGGAATATAGCTTGATGCCTGGAGCCACGACAACAATGTTGTGAGCATGAAGGTGAAAGCCCCACCGTATGAATGGAGGAATCGCAACCTAAGAGAAGCCTGAATCCTTGATATGAAGCTGACATTCCAGCACCTGAATGTGATCCCCACTGGCTCCAATTTAGGATAAGAACAAAGTAGACTAGGAATTCAGTTTTACTGAATGAATTATTTTTTTTGAACACTTCCTAGTTGCTTCTATAGTAGTCTGTACAAACACCATCACAGGACCTATAGCATAATAATTCATTCACTTGGTCATGTAATGAAACAATTTCCTCCTCCACTGTCTGCCCCTAAAGGTAAAGAAAAGGAGCTAGCTATATGAAGACCAGGGAAAAAACCTTTCAAGCAGAGGGAACAACATATTCTAGGGCCTAGAAGTGGGGAGTGGGGAGGGTAGGTTGGAGGGAGGAGCAAGAGATTCAATTGGAGAGATGGAAGGGGGTAGATAAAAGAGATGTGCCTTAGTCCATTCAAGCTGCTGCAACACAAGTACCATAGTCTGAGTGGCTTAAACAACAAACATTTATTTCTCACAGTTCTGGAGGTGGAGAAGTGCAAGATCAAGGCGCCAGCAGATTCCGTGTCTGGTGAGGACCTGCCTCATGGTTCATAGACAGCCATCTTTTCTCTGCATCCCTACATGGTGGTAAGTCTGGGGTTCCTCCCTGGGGTCTCTTATAAGAGACCCATCCATGAGGACTTCACTCTCATGACCTAATCACATCCCACAGGCCCGACTTCCAAATACCATCCCATTGGGCATTAGGACTTAACATATGAATTTTGAGAGACCACAAACCGTCTATAGCAAAGTGGTAAAGGCATTTGAATTAAATGCCATGGGAAGGCATTGAAGGGTCTAAGCTTCACATAACCATTAATAGTTCTTTTGAACTCACTCTTGCTGCTGTATATAAAATGAATTGAAAGGGGTGAGAGTAGAGCTGGGAGACCAGGGTGTAGGTGGTTTATAGTCTTTCAGGCAGGAGGTGATGGTGGCCTGAATTGGGGTTGTGACAGTAGAGTTGGAGAGAGGATGGATTCCTGATATACCTGGTGAGGGAATCAACTGGGTTTGTTTCTGGATTAGCTGCAGGGATGAGGGTAATAGAGGACCTCAGGATGACTTGTGGGTATTGGTATGAGTAGTTGAATGGGTAGTGATGTTGTTTACTAAGATGGGGAAAGCTGGAGATGGAGTAGGGCTGGAAGAAGGAACAGATTTGGGAAGAAAACTCAAGAGCTCTTTTTTGTCCTGTTTAACATGTCTGTGAGGCACCTGAGTGGAGATGTCAAGTGGGTGATTTGATATGTGGGTCTGGAGGTTTATGAAGAGGTTGAGGTTGGGGATACAAAATCAAAATTAAATAATTAAAAGAGCACTTACACTCATGAGGTCATCTAGACAGGGAGTATAGAGAGAGAATGAAGGAGCATCTAGCAAGAAGCCACAGAATAATGCTATGCTATGCTATGCTATGCTATGCTATGCTATGCTATGCTATGCTATGCTAGAGCATCTAGGTATATTCACTGTTGGATATTCCTGGGTATAGCATCTAGGGAAGGAGCCATTTGGTTCAATGATTATTTCCCTCAGGAGACCAGAACCAGGAGCCCAGCCTGAGGCTGCTGGAAGAGGGATGCTACTGTCTTCTTGTCAGGCAGGGTTTGGATTTCAGGAACTTGAGATGGCTTTGCTGGGGTTCCTGCATAAGAGGAGTTACAGAGAAGTTCTGCCACCTGGAAGCAGGCATATATCCCAGAATACCTCAGCATATCACATCTTGTGAGCTACATTATTAGTTGATGTGACTCTTTCTGTTCATTTCCCTTTTATTATTCCCAAGTCTTTAAACAAGCTTTGTATAAGTGTCCACCCTGGTCTTTGCTCTCCTATGGGAAATTCAACAAAAACTAGTATGTCTACACTGGTGTTGAAGAGTTAAAGGAATACTGATCTCCGAAGTCCAGCGTGGTGGGGGCAGCCAGTAGCAGGAGTCCCTAAGGGGAAGGTGAGTCTCTTGTTTGAGGGTTAGGGGTGTTGACTTTAGGCTCTCCTCTCCAGAAGGACGGACTCCTTCCATGACCAGCCTTAAAGGAGCTGTTTTAATTTTTTAAAGGGACCTTGTCTTTTCTTTAGAGTTTCTTCCCATATTGGATTATAAGCTCCTTGAAGACATGCTTTAATGGTCTCTGTGCCCTTAGTGTCCAGGAGATAGTGGGCACTTCATAAATGTTAGTTTAATAGATGAATGAATATATAGTAGACACTGAGCTATACACACTGTGGTTCTCAAAGAGTTTACAATCCAGTTGTGGTGATCAGACTGCATACATGAATGTGTGGCACAGTGTCAAAAGCACTGTAGGTTACATAAAGGAGCTGCGAAATGCTATTTAGTCACAGAAGAGGGAGAAATTACTGCTAGTGTGGGGGCACCCAGCTTGGGACAGACTTCGTGGAGGAGAAAACATATGGCTGGGCCTTGAGGGCTGGAGAGAATTTCCACAAATAGGATGAATAAGAGACAAATACATGCCAAGAAGAGGGATCAGTGAGAACAGAGACTTGGAGAGAAGGCATTCTGTTTCTTCTGTGCATGACCAGTAGTGAGGTTTGATGCAAGGGGAGCATTCATGGATAGGAGGAAGAAGTGTCAAAGCTAGAGAGGGGTTTTGCGGCCCCACTGTGGAGCCCTTAAAAATGTCTCTCAGTGAGCAAGGCCTCTCTTGTCTCAGACCAAAATATTAATAATAATGATACTTAAATAATTTTCAGGGAACCCTGAGAGCTGAGAGTGGCTTCTCACATTAGAAAAACTTCCCAGGGGCGCCTGGGTGGCTCTGTTGGTTAAGGGTCCGCCTTCAACTCAGGTCATGATCTCTGGGCCCTGGGATGGAGCCCAGCACTGAGCCCCGCACTGAGCCTCTCGGTGGGGTCCTTGTTCAGCCAGGGGTCTGCTTCTCCCTCTCCCTCTGCCCTCACCCCCCACCTCGTGCTCTCTCTCTCTCAAATAAATGAATAAAATCTTAAACAAAAAAAAAAAGAAAAAAACTTCTCAGCAGTGAGAGCTGTTAAACACTAGGATGGTTTGTCAGTGGCAGGTTTAGAAAATCTTTTCCCAGAGATTTTTATGCATAAAATGGACTTGCCATTTGTCAGTGGTTTCCTGTGGCCCCTCCTAATACCATGACAAGATACCCTATGAGCTCCCAAATTCTATGATGTTTGATTAAATTCAAAAAATATTTGAGTGTTGATTTTGGACATGACCCTTGGCATTGCTATGAATAAATTCAGCCACCTCTCCCTCCCCTCAATGTGGTTCTCTTCCAGTGATCCTCAACTCAACAAATGACACTTCCATTCATACAGCTGCCCAAATCAGAAACCTACAAATAATCCTGGATTCCTCATTCTTCCTTACTACTCACTTTCTAATTAATCCCCTTCATTCTACCTCCAAACAAAGACCTCTGGAATTTGTCCACTAACTTCTCCAATCCCCCATGCTGGTTGAAGTCACTAGCATCTCTCATGTGGATTACTGCAGTAGTCTAAATGATCTCCCTACCCCCAAGCTTGGCCTTCTTCAATCCATTCCCCATGCCTGGTCTCTGAAATTTAAATCTGAAAGCCTTTCACTCTCCTGCTTAACATTTCTTCACTGGGTCTCCTGCCCTGGGCTTCTGAGAGAGGCAGGAGGCGTGCAGTCTGTGCCAGACCAGACCGCTTAGATCTTGCTGTGTGCGTGAACTCCAGCTGTGTTACTTACCTACCTACTGGACACTCCAGGTGTGTTACTTACCTACTTACTGGACCTTTGGCGGTTTACCTAAGCGCTCACTGCAGTTTTCTCATCTATCAAAAGGGGATCATAACAGTAGTTCATTTTAGGGTAGTTGGGAAGACTATATAAATCTGGACCTTCCTCTCCTCTGTGAACCTTTAAATTTGGAGTACCCCTGGACTCTGGTCCTTTTCTCCATGCTCATTCCCTTAGTCATCTCAACTGGACTCATGGCTTTAATATCCATATCCTGGTAACTCCCAAATGTGCATCTCCAGCTCAGACCTGTCTCCTAAAGCCTGGACTCATATATATTCAGCTGCCTTCTCAACATAGCCACTTGATAGCTAATAGCTATATTAATTTAATATGTCCAAGGCTGAACTCCTAATTTTTTTCATTCAAACTTCCTCTGCGGAAAGTCCTTTTAATCTCAGTTGCTGGAACTGTCTTTCCAGATGATCAGGCTCAGTTGCCCTTCACTTTTCTCTTGTTCTCTCTCACTCCTCACATCCCATTGACCTGGAAATCCAGCTGGCTCCTCTTTCAAGCTGTAGACAGAATCTGACTCCTCATTCCAACATCTGTGCCTACACCTGGACCAAGCCCCATCATCTCTCACCTAGATTACTCAGCAACCTCCTGACCGGTCTCCTTCCACCCTGGCCTGTCCACAGTCTCTTCTCAGGCCAGCAGATTGATAAGTCAGATGATTTGGCTCCTTTCTCAGAGCCTCCTTTGGCTTCCCATTTCACAACCACTACAAGCCAAAATCTTTATGACAGATTTTAAGATCCTATGTAGTCAAGTCCCCAGCCTCCATTTTGTAACCTCATCTCCTACTTTACTCCTTGCTCATTCTACTCCAGTAGAATCCTTACTCTTCCTGGGACTCCTCAAGCATGCTCTGGTCTTAAGGCCTTTACGCTGCCTATTCCCTTTACTGGAATGCTCTTCCCCCAGATATCCCTATAGCTAACTCCTTCTCCTTCAAGTCTTTGCTCAAATGTCTTTTCTCAATGAGACATACTCTCACTACCCTTTTAAAAACTATAACTTTTCCTCCAGTTCTATGACACTCCTGATCTCCCTTCTGTTTTTTTTCCACTGCACTTATCACCCTCTAACATACTATATACTTTACTTATTGTATTTATTGATTATTGTTTGTCTTCTCCACTAGAATATAAGCTCCACTAGAGCAAGGATTTTTGTTTTATGTTCACTGGTTATGTGCATCCAAACACCAGAACAGTGATGGTACATAGTAGGACTCACTAAATATCTATGGAATAAAGGAACAGTGCATGCCACACAGTGTTTTTATGTGTATATCTGTATATATATGCTCTGTATATATAATTGTTATTATACATTATAATTATGTAACTATAATTACAGTATATATTACTATATATCATTTTATAAGCAATATATACAAACAATTATTAAGTTCACAACCACCTGGCTCCCATGTATCTTCCTACTCTAGTCCCCCTGCACTCTTTCTCCAATTCTAACTCAGCTATACTTAATTCTCTCATCTTTAGAGCTTTCCACATGTAATCTTCTCTTTGTCCTTCCACCCTTTTATTTGAGGAATTTACGTTCATCTCTCAGGTTTCAGTTTAGGACTTCCCTGACTCTGGGTCAGCCCCCTCCACCAGCAAACCTTGCCCTCCCCCCCATGTGCTCCTTGCTCATCACACTGCTTTGTAATTACTTGCTTCTCATTTGTCTTCTCAGCTAGCGTCTGTGACAACAGACACTATGCCTGTGATGGTAGTCATTGCAGCATCCCCAGCACCCCGCACAGGGCTTGATACATAGGAGGCTCTCAGTAAACATTAATGCAACGAATGAGGAAGGGCCACAGCAGTGATTGCATTTCTGCACCTTTGACACACATTGCTTAGTAACCATGTGCGATTGCACCTTGTGCTGCTTCTTAGGTAATAACAATCGCTAACACTTTTCTAACTCAATGCTCACAACTCTGTGCAGTCGGTACTCTTAGTGCCCTTATCTGAGAAGGGAGGAACTTGAAATTTAGGGAAGTTAAGGTACTTTCTCAAACTGGCAAGTGTTGGATTAGGATTAAAATGCAGGCAGTCTGGCACCAGAGCCCCTAAGCTTATATGATGCTACATCATTCAGCCATTTTAGTTTTGGACTTTCTCTTTTGCTTATTTAAAAATTAGTCAACTATCTGTCCTTAGCAAGTATGTCAAAGAACAATCCATACCACCTTTAATATACGTTTATCATGGCCTTCCTTATGGAGGAGTTGCCACTCATGCTTCCTTTCACGGAAGTGAAAACTAAAGCCGGAGCAGGGTGACAGCCTTGTGGTCTAGATCAGCATTAATACCATTAACACCAGTTTGCCATTTTATCGAACACATGTGATGTGCCAGGCACCTTCCCATACCTCATCTTATAGTTTAACTAAAAGTGAACCTTGTCTGACTTCTACTTCATGACTCTCTGGATCACAATGATTTGAATCACTTAAAATGTATTATAAAAGTCATTAGAACTCCAATATAATTTGCAGAGAGACCTGCCCAACTACCTCATTTTCAGATCTGGGAACTGAGATTCTGAAAGGTTAAGTGCCGTGTCCAAGGTCAAGCAGGTGGTGGTCTAGCTGGGGCTGGAAGAGGCCTCCTGAATCCAAGTCCAGAGCTCTCGATAAGACGCTAAACAGCCAATCACCTTTACTTTCCCCGATGCACATCAATGAAAAGGCAGTGTGTCTCTTTTTAAATGAATTTATCTAATGGAAAGGAGTTATTACTGCTCAAGATTTGTTACCCATGATATGCTATTTGACAAATCGTGCCCTGGAAATCACACTTTTTAGCATCCCCCTCGAGGTACATTCAGGGTTACGCAGGTGGCAGCAGCAGCCACCCCTTTGTGACTGGATGACTAAGGGCCAGGCGGCCCTCAGATTGTTCACGACAGCCAATCAGGGCTCGGAGCCACAGAACTGCACCAATTGGAGATTACCGAAGCCTCAACAAGGGCCAATTGGGGACTCAAAGCCAAGAAGAATGTGACTGGCGGACAGCGATCAATCAGAGGGGGAGAAGTGGATCACCGACGTCCAATCAGAGGCTTTAAGATCTCGGTCGTGGGCGGTGCTGGCGTGAGGCCCACGGGGCAGCCAATCAGCAGGTGAGCGGCCGCCGGCGCGCGTGCGGGGGACGGCCGGGGGGCGGGGTCTGTCTGCGCGTCGGAGCGGTGGGTGCTGGCGAGGAGCGAGGCTGGGTGAGGAGGGCTGGCGACCTCCAGGTTGGGTCCTGGCTGGGTCCGGGTTGGGGGCAGCGCGTGCACGCACCCGGCTGGGGTCTGGGGGTTGGGGACTGGGACGCGCGGGGGGCCGGGCCGGACGCGCGGGGCAGGTTCAGAGCTACGGGTTGCCGTGGGATTGACCCTCCCGAGATACAGGATGCGGCGGGGAGAGCTGAGGGACCGAGTACCGGGCTGGGGAGGTGGCCCGCTCCGTCCTGCTGGTTGAGGGAGGAGGGGACACTGTTGCCACGGCAACGCACGTGTGCAGTCTGGCGACCTTTTTCATCGCTTGAACCTGCGCACACCTTAAATGCCCCCCCCCCCGACCACCCCCGCCCTAAATGGCCTCCATCATCTTTTGCTCGCAGGCAGCTGGGCTGGGACCAGCGCAAAAATAACCTACTTTAGCAGCCGCCTCTCCTCCTCCCCAGCCTGGTTACCCACCTCTTCCCCTCCCTCCAGCTGCCTCGTCCGCGGACAGAGGGATTAAGCTTGCCCTGGGGCACTTGGTACGACAGGCCTTTGCGGTTTGACCACCAGGGCCAGTTCGCAGCCAACTCGTGGAATGGGGTCATTCCCCACAGCTGGGGTCCAGCGCGGGCGCCACATACTGGGGACAGGCACCGTAGAGATGCTGCCGCCTGAGAGACCTTGGGTATCCCCCAGAGAGATTTTTTTAGGGCAGTCAATGCAGAACCTTGTTCATAACAAGTACTCAAGAGAATGGGGTCTGACTGACTGAATGAAGACCACAGTGATGGCTTTCCATCCGTGGACCAGCATTGTCCAATAGATACATAAAGCGAACCAGATATGTAATTTTACGGTTTTCTAGTAACCACATTTTTTAAAAAGGTTAAATTAGGGGTGCCTGGATGGCTCAGTGAGTTAAGCATCTGCCTTCAGCTCAGGTCATGATACCAGGGTCCTGAGATTGAGTCCCACATAGGGCTCCTTGCTTAGCAGGGAGCCTGCTTCTCCCACTGCCTGCGGCTCCCCGCTTGTGCTCTCTCTCTCTCAAATAAATAAAATCTTTAAACAAAAACAAACAAGGTTAAATTAATTTTAGTATATTTTATTTAACCTGATATATCAAAATATCAATATTAAGTTAATATTAATTAATCTATTGAATTATTGGTATCTAAAATTCCATTTTGAATACAAGACCTTCAAAGTCTGGTGTGTACTTATACTTACAGCACATCTCAGTTCAGCCCAGACACATTTCAAGTGCTTAATGATGGCATTTAGCTAATGGCTGCCATATGAGACTGGACAACCATAAGCATTTCTTTTTTTTTTTTTTTTAAAGATTTTATTTATTTATTTGACAGAGAGAGAGATAGCGAGAGCAGTAACAGAAGCAGGGGGAATGGGAGAGGGAGAAGCAGGCTTCCTGCCGAGCAGGGAGCCCGATGTGGGACTCGATCCCAGGACCCCGGGATCATGACCTGAGCCGAAGGCAGACGCTTAACGACTGAGCCACCCAGGCGCCCAACCATAAGCATTTCTTATGTATGTGTGAGTTGTGGCTAAATACATGAAACTCATCAATATTCTTTTGAAACTCTCATCTGTGTGGGGCGCACTGCAGTGAGGCAACAAGAAACGGTAAGGCCTGGTCTTTTTTCTCAAGGAGCTTCCAGTCCAGTTGAGAAAACAGACATCCAAAAATTAAGTAGAATTTTAAATGGTATAATTAAGGCAATAGTAAAGATAACCAGGCAGTAGATGATTGGCAAACAGGATGGCTGATAATTATCCTTAGGAATTCTAGGGAGGGATACTTCAGATTCTTACAGTAGAGGAGGACTTGAGTCTGCTCTTGAAGGATGGGTACAGTGTTTTGATTGAGTGGAATTGACCATGCCTTCTTTTATTTTTAGGGTTGAAAATTGGCAGTTCTGAGGCTTTCAGACCAAAGAAGACTTTCCTCTCTCACTGACAATCTCCACCATGATTCATAGCCTCTTCTTGATCAACTCCTCAGGAGATATTTTCCTGGAAAAACATTGGAAAAGTGTGGTCAGCCGTTCTGTTTGTGATTACTTTTTTGAGGCACAAGAGAGAGCGACTGAGGCAGAAAATGTACCTCCAGTTATCCCTACCCCTCACCACTATCTCTTAAGTGTTTACCGTCACAAGATCTTTTTTGTGGCTGTGATCCAGACAGAGGTCCCACCTCTATTTGTTATTGAGTTCCTTCACCGAGTAGTGGACACATTTCAGGTGCGTGAATGTGAGGAGGCTCGTACATGTAAATTATAAAGTGTCTTTATGGTTCTTTTCCCATTGTATTCAGCTTTAATTAAGGAACTTTTTAAAAAATCAAAACTGACATTGCTCACTTCCTCTCCCATCTGATAAGATTCTTGTTTCTGTTTATTGAATTGGCTGCATCTGAAATGACAAATTGAATACCTTTGAACCTGTTGCATAAGAAAGCCACTCTACTTGGAATGATTGTATACCGTCATTTTAGTTCTGGAAATTGGAATTGCCCTACTTTTTGTTCATAAATCAGAGGAAATTAATTTGGGGGTTTTGTTTTGTTTTGTTTTAGTGGACTTGATGCTAGCCATTGTCAACTACGTTGCTTTGAGTTGCCTCAAAAAGTGATGAGTGTGTAAAGATACGTATATTTTCAAAAGTTAGGAGAAAGCTAAGTAATGCTTGCTTCACTCTCCTTGGCAGGAGTAATTTGTGAACCCAAACTTCATCTTGGGTTTGGGGTGCTTACCACAGCGTGTCAGTGATGAACTCTTGTTGCAAACAAGATTGGACAATCTTCTGTTCCTGTAAAGAATTTAAGTAACACATTTTACAAGACACGGTTTTCACTTTGAGTTTTTCTTTCAGGAATAGATTTGAAGATCTTGGGGGAGCAGGGTATAGGGGAAGTATAAGTAAGTTATACCAGAATGTCAGCACCATTTATAGCAGAGGATTTTAGGCTGCCCAGACTCTGAATTCAAACAGTGGGATCCTTCCCCCTAAAAGAATTGCTCAAATTCTGTTACAGTTATTTGCATAACTCAGTAAGTGAGAAGCAAGGGCCCTTTGGTTTAACTTCTGTGTCATGTGAAGTCTGGAATTGGTCATATGAATACAGAAATTGTGGAATTAGAGAAGAGAATGACTCCGATATGACAAGGAAATTAAAAAACAAGTCAAAGAGCCCTTTTATTTGCAGTCATATCTGTATCACATGTCTAGAACAGCATGTATTTCATAATTTTTTTCCCACCAATACTTGCTGGTAGCACGATTCTGGGTTTCCAGTTCTCATGTGGCATACCAGTTGCTCCCCACAGTAAAAACTTGGGAATTATAAATCCCAGTATGTGGAGGAACTAGAAGTAGAAGAACCCAGTATTATGACCTCAAACTACTCTTGTTGGGCCTTATTATGATTTCCACATATGATACTTTACCCCATTCTAAGATTAACAGTCCCATTGGTGAAACCCAGCATTTGCTTCATACCCCCATAGCAATATTATGTAATTTATTATAAGACAGGAAGTGAGAAAGGTTGCTTAATCTAGTGGAAACCACAGAGGAATTTGGGATAACAGTCAAGTAACTAGTTTGGAAGTCTGGGACTTCAGAGCTTGTCATTTTTGAAGGATTTGTTAAAAGCAAATGGACATACCCTGATTTTAATGTCTTCTCTCTGGCTGCATTATTTTTTTAGTACTGGAATATGATGGAAGAATTCCAGCTGTAGAATTGCAAATGCTTTTGCTATAGCAATTTGTCATACTTATATTCTTTCCAGTGACTCAGTTCACATTATGTCTGATTTATAAAATCTCGTGAGGTGTCTTATTTATTTTTCAAAAGAAAAGCACTCTTGGGAAGGAAATGTGTTACTTTTTCCCCCCCTTAAATCCTTGTTTTTAAAGAAGAAATCTTGTTTTAGAAACACATTCCTGACTCTTAAGTGTTCTTGGATATTGGAATGTCTCTGATATTTGCCATTATCTGATGTAATTTAGATCACAGCTGTAGTCTGTTCAGTTATGGATGTCATGATTTTAGGAGCATATTGGGAAACTAGAGCATATTCAAAGAAATGGCAAGGTTGTGGAACAATCTAGAAACCATACCACAGCATGAACAGTGGAAGGATCAAACAGTTTGGGTGGGAGAAAAAAAATGGAAGTGAAAGCTTGCAGCTGTCTTCAAATAACTTGTGGGGCTGTTATGTAAATTTGTTCTGTAAGGCAGATCTAGGAAGCAAATTTCAGTCTAGCAAAAGAAAGAACTTTCTAATAATCAGAGCTTTCCATGAATAGAATGGGCTTTCTCAAAAGGGTGAATTTCCCTTCAGTGGATGAATTCAACGAGGGTTGTATGACCATCTCAGAGGTCCTGGAAAAGATGTGACTGACGTTGCTAGAAGGGGCATATCAAATGACTACAAGCATTTCTTTTAATCATCATGCATCACATTTTATAAAGTCCTTTTTGTTTACAAAGCACTTTCACACATACTATCATTTAATCAGTCATGCTTAGTTCTTAAAACATCCATGTGCATCCAAGTGGTATTATCCTAATTATACTATTAAAAGAAAAATCAAAACCCGAATTAGCATGACTCTTCTAGTAGGTGACAATAAGGTTACCACCCAGGTCTTCTGATTTGGAATCCAGTATTTTTTCCACAATGTGGATCATTTAGTATCTCAGTCTTTGTTAGTAAAAGGACAAAGCCTTAGAATCCTAGCATCTTAGTGTAAAGATGATCCAAAGAGATTTTCTGGTGCGCTAGTTCATCTCCCTCATTTCATTTTATTTCCCTCTCAGTTCGTATTTGCTGCATGAATGTTAAGGAATAGCACAACAGAAGGAGTTAAAAAGATTTTTGGGTCCAATCTATGTCATATCAAGTATTATTATTTTGCGTAGTTCTTTCAAATTCTTGTTCCTAAGCACGTATGATAGTCTAGATTCAGTTTTGTCTAGTTGAAGAAACTAACCCAAAAAAGTTAAATAACTTTCTCTTAATTTATAAAAGAAGTTAGTAATGACACTAGTACTATAAGCCAGTCCAGTGTTCTTTCTGCCTCCGCTTAAGAGAACTGTGGTTATGCTTCATTCCCTTATTGTAGAAGAATATCCCAGAAGCACTGTGTAAACACATGGACAGGCCTAGATCCTTATTCCTTAGGAAGATTCTCTTTATTACAGTCTCTGAATGATCTACATTGTATATATTGTGTTTTCATCAGGATTATTTTGGAGTCTGTTCAGAGCCTGTGATCAAAGACAATGTGGTTGTGGTTTATGAGGTACTAGAAGAGATGCTTGACAATGGGTTTCCATTGGCTACCGAGTCAAACATCCTCAAAGAACTGATAAAGCCTCCCACTATCCTTCGAACAGTCGTCAACACCATAACAGGTATGGAGAAAGGGGAAACCCACAAAGAGCTGCTGTCCTGGATGTGGCTTCCTCCCTCGTTGTGCATTGTTTTGAGTGCTTGTCTTTGGGGCTCTCAGATGTCCAGGTGCTTTAATTTTGCTCATTATAGTTTTTGATTATGACCTGAAATATGTCTTTGTTATGTAGAAAATACCCTGATTTCAATGACAGAATAAAGTGTGCTCCTTTAAAAAGAGGTTTTTTTTCTGATTACAGAAGAAACACTTGATTATTATAGGAATGTCAGATACAGAAAAGCACAAAGAACTTGAAAATAACTTTTTTAAAAAGATTTTACTTATTTGTCAGCGAGAGAGGGGACACAAGCAGGCGGAAGGGGCAGGCAGAGGGAGAAGCAGGCTCCCCGCTGAGCAGGGAGCCCGATGCGGGGCTCAATCCTGGGACCTTGGGATCACCACCCAAGCCGAAGGCAGACACTTAACTGACGGAGCCACCCAGGCGTCCCAAAAATAACTCTTAATCCTGCTACAGTTTTGACATACTTTTTGTCTTTTCTAGACAGATGAATAATGAATAGATGCATAGAATTTTGAAAAAACAACTCTTGTATATTTTTTTATAACTTTCATCAATATTTTGTGAACATTATCCCCTTATGATACGTTTTCTTCTACATGATTTTTAGTGACTTTATAATTTTCTTCCATATGGAATAGACCTTAAGTTATTTACTCAGTCCGTGTTTTTGATGTTTCTGATTTTTTGTTCATTTAAATAACAAGGAATTAACATTCTTATACTTAAATCTTTGTGTACATGTAGGATGATTTGTTTTCAGTACTAGCAATGGAAGTACTAGATCAAAGAGCGTGCTCATTTTAAGAACTTTAATGCATTGTGCCAAATTGCCCTTCAGAAAATTTATACTTTCAGTAGCAGTTTCTATGCATCCTAGCCAACCCTACTATAATTATTAATTTTTTCAAAACTTTGGCAATTTAATAGTTTAGTCATATCTTTTTTTTTTTTTTTTTAAGATTTTACTTACTTATTTGACAGGGAGAGAGCATGAGAGAGCGCGAGCGAGCACACAAGCAGGGGGAGCTGGAGAGGGAGAAGCAGGCCTCCCACTGAGCAGGGAGCCCAATGCAGGGCTTGATCCTAGGACCCTGAGCCAAAGGCAGATGCTTAATGAGCCACCCAGGCGCCCCAGTTTAGTCTTATCTTATGTATATCCTCATTTTTTATTACTAAGGAAGTTAAAACCCTTCGAGTATTCATTGACTATTCTTCCTCTATTGTGAATTACCTAGTTGTGTGTCCTTTGCCCAGTTTTTCTTTTGTTGTTGAAATGTGTTTCTTTTTTCATACTAATTTAAAAGAATTCCTTTCGGGACACTTGGGTGGCTTAGTCAGTTAAGCGTCTGACTCTTGATCTCAGCTCAGGTCTTGATCTCAGGGTTGTGAGTTCAAGTTCCAAGTTGGGCTCCATGCTGGGTGTGGAGCCTACTTAAAAAAAAAAAAAAAAAGGAAAAATTCCTTTTATTTAAGGACATTAAACTATCATGTATGTTGGAAATACTGGAAATATACATGGTAGTTTGTAGTTCTGTATATTTTTGATCCTCTGTTACAGATATTTTCTCACAGTCTATGTGAGACTTGTCATTTAGCATTGTTTACAGTGTGTTTAGCCACATTTAATTCTGATTTAATCATATTAATCATTCTGCTTCATTCAGCTTTTATATTTTGGCTCTTAATATACAAACAAGGGTTTGCATGGCATTTTGGCTCTTGCTTAATATATAAACAAGGGTTGCACGGCATTTGACAAACTGATTGAAAGATAATTTTTAAGAAGTATGAATATGCAAGAATACCTGGGAATATTTTGAAAAAGAATTACAAAGCCGCTGGACAGATTTGTCTTGTCAAATATCAAGCTATATTAAGTTCATATGGTACAGGAGACAAAAACTCATAGATAAGCTCTAAAAGCCAAGACAGTTTTGAAAATAAGTATATATTTTTTATTTTATTTCATTTTTTTAAAGATTTTATTTATTCATTTGACAGACAGCGAACACAAGCAAGGGGAGCAGCAGAGGGAGTGCAAGAAGCAGGCTCCCCACTGAGCAGAGAGCCTGATATGGGGCTTGATCCCAGGACCCTGAGATCATGACCTGAGCTGAAGGCAGATGCTTAACTGACCCAGACGCCCCAAAAGTAAATATTTTTTAAAAAGATCGAGAACAGGAGAGAAAATGTGTCCCATCGGATAGATACAAGATACATCATATATATAATTTTTAAAACGTAGTATTGGCCCAGTAATAGACAAATAGATGATTGAGATAAGGTAGAAAGTTCAGAAACAGGGCGCCTGGGTGGCTTAGTTGGTTAAGTGTCTGCCTTTGGCTCAGGTTATGATTCCAGGGTCCTGGGACAGAGTCCCGCATTGGGCTCCCTGCTCAGCATCGGGAGTCTGCTTCTCCCTCTCCCTCTGCTGTGCTCTCTCCCCGCTCTGTCAAATAAATAAGTAAAATCTTAAAAAAAAAAAAAGAAAAGAAAAGAAAAAGAAAGTTCAGAAACAGACCCTTGCTTTTGCAGAAATTTGATATACATAGATCATATATCAAATCAGGGGGCCAGGGTAACATATTGTATTAGGACAATCAGCTTTGGTAAGAACAAAATGAAGTCCCTCTACCCATTCTGTACACAAAATAAATTCTAGCAAGGTCAAAGAGTTAAATACAAACCTTATAATTGTTAGAAGAAAACATAGGGGAGTGTCTTTTTGATCTCAGAGAAGGGAAGGTCTTCTTTTTTAAAAAGTGTATTTTTTTCTAGTTCTTTTATGGTTTCATTTTGTACTTAATTCTTTAATCCATTTGGAAATTAATCTTGGTATACAATGTAAAGTAAGGCTCCATGTTTATTTCTCCAAAATTGTCTACCAGCTTTCCTAGCGCCATTTGTTAAATAACCATTTTCCCTGTTTTAAAATATTTTTGTCATGTACTAAGCCACTGTGGATTCTTTGTTTTTAGGCTTCCTGCCTTATCAAACTGCTTTAATTATTATAGCTTGATGACATGTTTTAATATGTGGTGCCTCTTTTTAAGAAAACACATTGGTTGGGTTTTTCAATATTCTGGGTTCATTTAACTCTTAAGCTCTTTGTTAGTGCCTGAATCATTTATGAATACTATGGAGTCATTTTTCTGAATCTCTCTTAAATCTAGAAAAAGGTACCTGAGAGTCATTTTTGAAAAGCTGAACTGTTTTGCAAACATGCTGAATATATGTGTGTGTTTAATGTTCCTTTCTTTAGGTTAAAAACATCCAGGTTACAAAAGAAGGAAATAGATTTTAAATTAGTTATAATATTTCAGAATTACAGCATAGAACTTTTGGATTAAAAAATATTTTTTATTCTTGTCGGGGGTGGGAAACGGAATTGATTTACAACTCTTATAGACAGGGAAAGACCTAATTTGTATTCTTTTCCTAAGATTCAGTATTAGTAGTAGTAAAATGTGTGCATTTTAATAACTAGCATAAATGTACTTAAGAACCTACCTTGAACTAGAATATTGTTTTTACCCATGAAAATTTTATATTAATATGTAAATCACCATCCCTGCTGAAAGCCAGTACGTTATTTAAGCTACAAGCTATTGTGAAATTTGAGAGACAAGTTCAAGTTTCTTTCAAAACCAAAATATGATATCTGTTTCTCAGGTAACTTTTTAACCTTTATTCTGCTCAAAGAAGCAGACCAGATGGCAACAAGTTTTTAGAATAGACTACGTTACCCAGACAGAAGTTGAGACAACTCTTACGTTTTTGTTTTTGTTTTTTTATTCTCCAATTGAGTGCATGAATAATAGGAACATAGAAACTTCTAGGGAAGTGTTCTATGATTATTAGATAATTGGTTACATCTAATTATCCAATTGGAATTACAGTCATATTCATTATCTAGGAAGCACCAATGTGGGTGACCAGCTTCCTACTGGACAGCTGTCAGTGGTGCCCTGGCGAAGAACTGGGGTGAAGTACACCAACAATGAGGCCTATTTTGATGTGATCGAAGAGATTGATGCTATCATTGATAAATCAGGTAAGTGCTTTTAATCTGTTTTCAGAACTAGAAAGTAGAAAGAGTCTCCTTCATACAGTGCTTGCTAGTATCAGAATTATCCCCCATTCAAGATCATTCATTTTAATTTTGTGCCTACTTTGTGTCAAGCACTGTGCTAGGTACTGGGAATAGACTTAAATATTATGATGCAGATGACATGATCATATTTGTAGGGGCCCCTAAAGACTCAACAGAAAACTGTTAGAACTAATAAACAAATTCTGTAAAGTTGCAAGGTATACAATCAACATAAAAAACAGTAGCATTCTAAATACAAACAATGAACTATGCTAAAAGAAAATTAAGAAAACAGTCCCATTTACAAAAGCACCAAAAAGAATAAAATAGTTAGGAATAAACTTAACCAAACTTGTACTCAGAAAATTATAAAACACTGATGAAGGAAGTTAAAGAAGACACAAATAAATGGAAAGGCATCCTGTGTTCATGGAGTGGAAGAATTAATATTATTAAAATGTTCAGAGGCACCTGAGTGATTCAGTTGATTAAGCGTCTGCCTTCAGCTCAGGTCATGATCTCAGGGTCCTGGGATCGAGCCCCACGTCAGGCTCCCTCCTCAGCAGGGAGTCTGCTTCTCCCTCTCCTTTTGCCCCTCTCCCGCCCCGCGCTCATGCTCGCTCTCAAATAAATAAATCTTTTAAAAAAAAGATTCTCTCTCTCTCCCTCTGCCCCTCCTTCTCCCTTCCTTTTAAACAAAAATAAAAAAATTTTTAAATTTTTTAAAAAGTCCATATTACCCAAAGCAATCTATAGATTCAGTGTAATCCCCATCAAAATCCCAATGGCACTCTTTACAGAAATAGAAAAAACAATGCTAAAATTCATATGGAACCACAAAAGACCCCAAATAGCCAAAGCAATCTTGAGCAAGAACAACAAAGCTGGAGACTTCATACTTCCTGATTTCAAAATATATTACAAAGCTACAGTAATCAAAATTATTACACTGGCATAAAAACAGACACATAGGCCAATGAAACAGAATAGAGAGTTCAGAAATAAAACCACGCATTTACAGTCAACTGATCTTTGACAAGAGAACCAAGATTATACCATGGGGGAAGGATACTCTCTTCATTAAATGATGCTGGGGAAACAGAATTTCCACATGTGGAAGAATAAAATTGGACTCTTATCTCACACCAAAAAAATACAAAAAACAAAACTCAAAATGGATTAAAGACTTAAATGTAAAATGTGAAATCATAACACTGCTAGAAGAAGACACAGGGAAAATGCTTCTTGACACTGGTCTGGATAATGGCTTTTTTGGATATGACACCAAAAGCAGAAGTAGACAGGATTGCATCAAACTAAAAAGTTTCTGCACAAAAAAAACAGTCAACACAGTGAAAAGGCAACCTGTGGGAGAAGCTCAAGGAGACGGTGTTGAGTGAAAGGAAAGAGAAGTTCAGAATTGTGAAAAAGCATGGGCATTTGAAAGCTGTGCAAAGAAAGGGAAACCCACAGAAAGCACTGAGGAAGTGGAGCTAGAAAAATAGAAAACTAGGTGAAGTTAGGAGAAAGGAGGGTTTTACAAAGGGAGAAGTGGTCGACAATGACATGCTACAGAGAACGTCTATAGGATAAAGATGAAAAGTGTCCATTTGATTCATTGGTGACCGTAGGGAGAGCAGTTTCTGCTGTGAAGTTTTCTGAACCATTGGTTACGATGGTACCCTGTTTGATTCTGGTACTAGATGGAAAACTTCTTTAAGCTAATAACTGTCTCATTAATCTTTTATTCCCATTGCTTCATCATAGTGTCTCATATTTGATATGCAGTTGATAAATGTTTAGAAGGATGGACCAATGCATTGGGTAGATGAATAGATGGACAGAAGGAAGGGAGGAAGGGAGGGAGGGAGGGAGAAGACAAAAGTTGGGGAAGAAAAGAGAAGATTAAGGTGGTAGGGAGGAAATAAGTTGGTTGGGAAAGACAGAAGTGTTGAATAACCTCTTACTGTCTTTTTTGCCTTGTTCCTATCTCAGGTTCCACAATTACTGCTGAGATCCAGGGGGTCATTGATGCCTGCGTCAAGCTGACTGGAATGCCAGACCTTACTCTTTCCTTCATGGTAAAATCCTAAACCACAGGTTCAGATCTCGGGATGGCAAATTAATTGCTTCTGGAAAGACAGTGGTGAGAATGGAATGGAACAGTAAATAATTAAGGACAGGGGTGCCTGGGTGGTTAATCAGTTAAGCGTCTGACTCTCGATCTCAGCTGAGGTCTTGATCTCAGGGTCGTGAGTTTAAGCCCCACACTGGGTTCCACGCTGGGTGTGGAGCCTACTTAAAAAAAAAAAGAAAGAAAAAATAATTAAGGACAGCCACAAAGCTTGTATCAGGCTTGAATTTTCTATAAGTAGGTACAGAATTTGTGTGTGTGGGTGTGCGCGTGTGTGCGCACATTTAAATAAAGACAGCATCTGAATGAGTTTCCCAAAAGCAATATGGGTGTTTAATTCCTACTAATTGCTTTTCCTTGCCTGGTGACTACAGAATCCCAGATTGTTGGATGATGTCAGCTTCCATCCTTGTGTTCGTTTCAAGCGCTGGGAATCTGAGCGTATCCTCTCCTTCATCCCTCCTGATGGAAACTTTCGCCTGCTCTCTTACCATGTCAGTGCACAGAAGTAAGCAGCCCTTATAATTAAGAATAGAATCATATGTGTATATGTGGAAACAGTATCCGTAGTGATTAAGGACTCAGGCTCTAGAGTTACCTGCGTTCACATTCCAGTTTCTGTACTTACTAATCGGGTAACCTCAGGTGAGTTGTTTAACCTTCCTGTGTCTGTTTTCTTATCTGTAAGCGGAAAACAAAAAAATGGGCCTTGTTTGAAGATTAAATAAAACAGTCTAAATAGTGCTTAACACAAAGCTGGTGCTCATTTAAGTTTGCTGCTGCTGTTTTTGTTACTGTATGTCTAAACAAGAACACTTTTCCTCAAATTGGAATCCGAGTACACCTGTATTCAATCCCCGTGACCCAAAAAAGCATTAAACTATGCTATGAAAAATCATAAAAGGCAGTCATTTTTGGTCTTGAACATTCTCTTTAATATCTCTTCAAAGGACTTGAGAAGCCCTTAGTATAAGGTGTGTAGTAGAAGGAATACAGACCGAAGAGAGCCATGACACCTCAGATCCACCAATACTTCCCTGTGGGGTTTGGAATAAATAATTTAGGAAAATATCTGCATGCCTGAGAGCAAAGGCTCTGGGCTCAGACTGCCTACATTTAAACCCCATCTTCAGTACTTATGATGTATGACCTTGGACAGGTTACTTAATCTTAGTGAAGTAAAAGGACATCATTATTTATAAAATCAGGACAGGAGCAGTACCTACTTCATACTTATTGGGAGGATTAAACAAGATAATGGAGAAAGAACATCTAGCATAGTACTGGCATACAGGAGTGTTTAATAGATATTAAGCACTATTATTGCTTTGGTATTACTCTGTGATTTCTCTATTTCCTGTTCTGTCCTATCATGACAACCTACCATACGTACCTCATCAGATTTCATGAGGATCAGAGGAAGTCCGGTAAAAGCACTCCCAAGATATTATAAAAGGTCCATGAGGTATGAATAGTACTCTCCCAAGTACAAATAATTATCGGTCACAGGTCATAAAGTAAAACACAGAGATATGGTGACTCCTAATTTTTATCTCTAATGCCTTTCTCATAGTAGGCTTAGTATACCCTTTGGTTTTTGTTAATATTATTCAGAGTCATTGGAAGAGTTAGTTCACTAACTAGACAGCGTCTTAGCTTTACAAAAAGAAAAAATTAAAGATTACTGGGTTTTTTTCCTGTGCCTTTTTTTTTTTTTTTTAATATAAGGAGTAAAGAAGTAGGTAAGGAAGGAAAAGCTGTCAATGGGGCAAAAAAAAAAAAAAAAGTATAAAAGAAGAAAATGTTGCCATTTTTCCAGTATAGTAATGAAATGGGTTTTTTGTCTCTCTTTTCCAGTCTGGTGGCAATTCCAGTATATGTCAAACATAGCATCAGTTTCCGGGACAGTAGTGCACTTGGACGCTTTGAAATAACAGTGGGACCGAAGCAGACTATGGGGAAGACCATAGAGGGAGTGATTGTCACCAGCCAGATGCCCAAAGGGGTCCTGAATATGAGCCTCACTCCATCTCAGGGGACACATACATTTGACCCAGTTACCAAGGTAGGAGGAGAATAAGCCGGAGGTTTCAAATTGCTGATATTAAATAGAAGTATTTCTGCAGGAGCTCTCCACATAAACATTACACCTTGTTGAAAGGGAAGCTTAATCAAAGGGACATCCTTTTTCTCCTTGAGATAATTTATGGGGACAAATAGTTTTCTCTATTGAAAACCACTTTAGAGGCAGCTTGTAATACTGTGAACAGATGCCCTGAGGTTAGAGCTCAACCACCTCAGATGAAGGGTTCCACTGTAACTTCTTTCTTTTTCTTTAAAGATGCTGTCGTGGGATGTAGGAAAAATAAATCCCCAAAAGCTACCAAGTTTGAAGGGGACCATGAGTCTTCAGGCTGGAGCTTCCAAGCCAGATGAGAACCCCACAATTAATCTGCAGTTTAAGATCCAGCAGCTGGCCATTTCTGGTGAGTGACTCACGACTTAGGTGGCTTCATGAGAACAGAAGTGGCTCTCTCCAGTAGGACATAGATCTCAGAATGCCTTCTGCTGGCTCCCTATTTATGGAGTTTGGTTTCATTACCTGATAGGTAATCTTGAGTAAAATCTTCTCTAGCATTTCTGGGGAAAGTTCATCATCCTTACTTTGAAGTTGGCTGAAGTGATTTGACTGCCAATATATAAGACACAGTTGAGAAGGAAATAGTGTGGGTAGATGGAGTGTTGGCAAGCAGGTGTTGAGTCATACTGGGGTTGTCAGTTTGGGGTCCCAAGGTTTTCAGGATGGGAAGGCTTCTGCGTTCTCAGCTGGTAACTGAGAAGAATAATTTCCCCTCCTTTCCCCCAGATTCAGAGGGACTTTCATATTTGCTTTTATTACCATGTGGAACCCACATCAGCCCGCTGAGGTCTGCACCTGTCTCAGGCTGGTGATGATGATAGTCACTGCCTACCAGGCATTTACTATGTGCCAGGCACTGTTTTAAGCTCTTTCCATCTATGTTATTATTTAATCCTTAGAACAACCGTATAAGGTAGATAGGAGATGACTTCAGCTAGTTCCTATTTTTCTTTATCAACAGAACTTGTCTAATTTAAGTGGTTAACGTTCACTTCAATTATAAACTCTTTCATCTTAAAACACTTCACAAATTTTAAAGCCCTATACAGTATAAAATGTGTTTTGTTTATTAGTACAGTGAGAATACTTAGGAAGCATTCATCATTAAGTTATATTTTATTTCATTCATTAATTTTATTATTTATTCATGTATTCCATCCAATAACTTGAGAAAAACATAGAAGGGTCTTATTCTTTCCTTATCCTCATATCAGTCTGCATGTAACTTTCTGCCCTTGCCACTTTACAAATAGGTCTTCCAGTAGGATAGCTCTATGTTGGAGCAGTTTTTATTATCAGTGTATGGACCAAGAGTCAAAAACCTGTGAGCTTTAGGAAAGTGAAATAAATAAGGGACAATTATTATTATTTTTCTGGTTCATTGTTACAACTGTCTCTATCCCACTGATCCCTCTGAATTAAAATGGATTTAAACATAACATGCTACATGCTCCTTTTTGAATAATGCCTATCTTCCTTCCTTCCAGGACTCAAGGTGAATCGTCTGGATATGTATGGAGAAAAGTACAAACCCTTTAAGGGCATAAAATACATGACCAAAGCTGGAAAGTTCCAAGTTCGAACCTGAAGGGAGAGTTTTGCAAAAAGAACAGTCATGAATGCTTTTTCATTTCTTACTTGTCTAAAAGTAAAAAATACCAGCCTGTCTCCTAGGTCAGTATCCCCTTCTGGACCCACCTGCTCCCTTTTTTCCTTAGCCTTCAGTGCCATGGAACTAATCAAGGGAGAGAAGGTCGCCAGGGAGAACTGGACAGAACTGAAACACAATCAGCACCAACTCAGTTCTGCGAGAAGAGATGTGTGACGGAGGGTAGAGACACTTGATGCCATATTTGACTATTCTTAACGTGGCTACCATAGAAAAAGACTAGCATTTGTTACTTGCTTGGCTTTAATGATCTAAGCCAACGAACGACCTCTTTTTGTTTTTTAAGGTAGAAAGATTAGAAAGAAGGAAAGAAAGCTTGGAAGAGTATGAATGTTAGTCACAGAAAGGCCAGTTAAGGATCTGATCTATGAGGGAGAAGAAAGGAAACAGTATTGAAGAAGTATGAGGACACAGGCTCAAGTGAAAGGGGCAGGAAAAGTAGTCAAGCCCCACATGAAGGAGGGTTGGAAGGAAAAGAGTGGAGTTGGTTTCTTTCTGATCCCTCTACTTTGATATCTATCTATCTATCTATATAAAATCATCAGTACTTCTAGAAGTGAACTGGAAACTTCTTAAATTTGAGTCCACTGATGACATGGAAAACCCCAGTAGAATCAGATTTTCCCTTGAAGACTATGACGATAACCGACCAGTTTTCAGATACTAACTACTGTTTGCCTTTAGCAATTGGTCTGTCATCTTCTGTGAGAAGGTGACCTGCCCTCTTCCTGGCGGAGGCCGCCTAAAATGCCCCTTTTCTAACCCAAAACAGTTTACTCACTTTGCATTGCAGAATTCACCAGGCTTTTTCCTGTTACCCAAGGACAATTTCAGAAAAGCCAATCCCATAATCCCAGGGCAGCCAGATTTTGTGTGTCACCATGTTGGAGTGTAGATGACCAACTCCTTCCTCATGAAGTGCATCACAGCTGTAACCCAGTGACTCCTTATTTATACTTGTCAGTGCTGGACTAGTGCTGGAGTCTTTAAAAATTTATATAGAAGACAGGTTTTAAAATTTTTGTTGTAGCTTAAGGAGTGATACTGTGCTCTGCTTAATGCATGGAGAAAAATGAAGACCTCTCCAAACCCTACAATTTTTCTCTAAAGCCCTGTTTCCAAATCCTTCAGCAATTTTGTTTTGCTAGTTTTATCTCCCTACTTCCTGGACTTGTTTTTGCTGCAGAGTAATGTTGCTTTGTGGTTTTCCTCTGGGATAAATTGTGCTGTATACAAACAGGTGTGTTTCATACTCCCATCACTCCAGAATTTGTCCTGAATGACTATGCCCTGCATACATACCTGGCAGGGTAGGGGAACAGCCCTGCCTATGATTCCAGAATACTCGGAATTACTTCTTCTGAGGGCTCTGAAGGATTTTAAGGTTTCCTAGGTCATAGGAAAACAACCAGTCTTGGTGCCTGGATATTTTTAGGTTTGTAAATCCAGCTGTGATATTTCCTCCCAGACAATTCATCCTAATTTCAAGGGAAGAACTTGAGGAGAAATCAAGTATCTAGGGTATGGGACCTCCAGGCCTTAGCATGTGAAGTAATGTATCACCCTCGTAGCAGACCTCTGGAGCCCAGTGGAGCATCGCGGCGACCACCCAGCAGGGTGTCAGCATAAGAAGTGCAGGCCGTCTTGGTTGAGCTGTTCGATTCCATACGTGTTTAATATGTGTGGAAGTATCTCCTGTGTTTAAATCGTAATAAAGTTTGAGTTTTACCAGTCGTCTGTGTCCTAAGTGTCTTGTTACTGGGACTAACAGTAGTGTTATGCCAGACAGGCCTCGGTAGAAGCACTAAGAAATAAATCAGTTCGGGAGGATCTTACTACTTGTGTCTTTTCAACCAGTAGACCTAACGCCATAGGTATGGTATGATTCTCGTTACCTCTGGAAATAGGGGATGTTGGCATTGTCATTTTTCAGGTTGTAAGAACAAAGGTGAAGATCAGTCATTTTTCCCCATTAAAGACCAGCCATTAAAGCTGCCAATGGCTATTCTGGTGCTTTCCCCACGCTCTTGATCTTAGGTTTGTCAGTTTGGGTGTGAAATGGAAGATAAGTCATGGGCAGTCTTTGTAAAAAAGTATGGACACTGGTTGTTATCCCATATCCGTACTGATATCCTTTGGTAAATCCGTCGTGGCCATGAAAAGACGTTAGGGCTTTTTCTGTTTACGAACTAGTGTTTGGTATTTATGAATACTCCATCCTACCTGTCTTGGTCGTTAACATGTCTTCCCGCGCTCTGGCTGTTCTGGTTGTGCTGTGGTGTGACCAGGTGCATTTTATAATACATGTACTTTCCTCTGTGGCCAGTAGGTGGTGACTCAGTGCTAGCAATGAGATTAATTTTTTTTAATTGTTAGAATTTTAAAAGAACTGAATTTGAAACTCTTAAACTTTCCCCCAAGATTCCGAGTACTGGGGATGGGGTGAGTTTTTGGCTTTTGCAGTTAAATGTGAAACCAAAAATTTATGACACTCTTTGATAACCAGACTTAAGATCGGAGCTCTAGGAGGATAGCAGTTTCCATCATCTGAGTTCCTCTAAGTCTTTACCCACTAAAATGTATTGCACAGCTACCTAAGAATCTTTGTCCTTCAGATCTGTTAGTGTCTATTTGCTTTATTAACCAGCTGGGGAGAAGGAACTATTTCATTTCCCCCCTTATAATCCTTTCCCTGGCCTGCCTAGTTCCAGACATTTTATCCTAAATTTCCTAACCCACACCGGATAATGATGTGTGTTGTTCTTTGAATGTGTTTCAATGTAATTCAAAGGAATCTGCGGGGCCGGGACTCTGCCTTGCAGCTTGGTCCGCGGTCTCTTGTGTCTTCATCCAGTCTTTGGTTGCCGGGACCTCACCCAGAGGAATGTTGGGGCCTGTCACTTGGCGTTTCCATCCTAGGAGGCCTTGCTGCTTCAGTTCATTTCATTCATCCAGGTCTCTGAAGAAAGGCTTGTCATGCAAAGGGGATGGGGCAAACCCACTGAATTCCTGCCAGAGATGTGCTCGCTGGGAGTCCTGCCTATTGTCCTCGAGCAGTGTTTGTCTAAAATGGCCGAGGAACACTTCTATCTCAAATAAAACCTGCCACTTGCACGGGAAACTTGTGCGGGAGAGCTCTAAGGTGGAGGAATCTGTGGCTTCAGTTTCTGTGATCTGCATCTATTTAACTGCTCCGGGGGCTTGAGGATTTCAGGGAAGTTTGGGTTTTGCTCCCCTCTAACTCAAGCTCGTGGGCTTTAGAGTCTCTTCTGTGAGCTGAAACTATGTACTTTTCTTCTAAGAACCTCTAAACTGAGCAGTTCTCACAGCCTTTCAAGAGATAGAGACAACTGCAACCACCTTTTCTCCTCTCCAGGAAACTGCTGCATATATCCAACAGCAAGCCCCCTCAGATTTATTCTTGGATCTGGGGTGGCAGTGGTAACAGGAGCTGCAGCTCTAGTTAAGAAAGTAGCCTAGGAGAAGCAGAAAGCAGCATCCTGAAGTAACATACTAGTGTGGACTGGTCTGGGAATTCATGGTTTTTTTTCTTTTAAGTTTTATTTATTTAAATAATCTCTACACCCCTCATGGGGCTCGAACTCACAACCTCGAGATCAAGAGCTGTATGCTCTTCTGACTGAGGCAGCCAGGCGCCCCACGGTCTGGGAGTTAATTCTTTCAGACAACAGGGAAGGAAAATGGAATGGGAAGAAAACGGCCAATACTAGCTTCTAGGCCGACCAACAGTGGGATATTGTTATGCTGGCCAGCAAGGTCGTGTTCTTCGTACCCTCTTGCTTCTCCTTTCTACTACCTCGCTTGTGGCCCACGGAGTCTGCATACCCAGTCGGCTTTCATTCCATCCCCCTCAGGGTTCTTTTTCCCCGGGGCATGCTCTGTTCGTTACTTCTCTTACGCACAAGCCCCAGTGGCTCCCTGTTGCCTCTAGAATTAAGTCCAAAACTCAGTTTGGCATTCAAAGCACCATAATCTAAGTTCCTACCCACACTCTTCATGACCTTCACTTCCGACAACCTGTACAAAATCCTTCCCCATACTCCCACCGCCCTTTTTCCTCTCCAGATCTCTATATTTCCATGCAGTGACATTCCTGGTCTCAAGGATGCCTTGCCCACATCTCCTCCCCACCAGTCCAGATCTCGCCCAATTTTTGAAGGCCCTACTTGTTTTTCCTTAAGATTCCCTCATACTTCCTGCAACTGAAAAGTAAAAGTTTCTCTCTGCCGTTTTTGTGACCCGTCTCTGTTCTACCTGGGTATTTCTTTATCTTATTTTCCTGTCAAACCGAGAACTGCCTCCCTCCCCCTTTTTACTGTCTGCAGCACCTAGCATGTTGCCTTGTATGCAGCGAGTATTCTGTATATTCCAAATGAATGAAAGGAAATACTTGAGATGATTTTTAAAATGTGACCGTGAGTAACAAGAATAAATGAGCTGTGAGATACTGCAAGTGTAACAAATTATCCCACTCTGATTTGGGAAAATATGTGAAAAATAATCTGAATTTATTATTTCAGCACAGTATAATACAGGGGCGTGACAACAAAGTAAAAACTAAAATGGATTGATATAAATATACTAAAGCCTAGTTTACCAGTTACTAAAATGATACAAGTCTCCTGTTTTATTATAAAGAAAAAAAGATTTACACTATACACAAAAAGATTTCCTTCCAAGAGCTGTAAAGTGGAGAAAGGGAAAAGCCAAATACTTGATTTAAAAGATGGTGTTGAGAAACATGACCTGGCCAGCCAGCCCATCCCTTATTAGGAGGCGCCTGTTGGGCTTCCTTGTGACTATAGACAGACATTCCATTTCTAATGCAATCCTTCCTTCCTGAAGGATCTAGTTACTTTTTTACTATTGAGACATGCTTTTATCTTTGTGGTCCCATTTCCAAAGCTGCTCGTGGTGACAGATCAGGAGGTTGGGTTTCTCTTCTCCCTCTCTTCTGCCTTAGATGGTGGTATTCCAGGAGGGGTTGGCGTTATCTGTCTTCTCGGCTGACAAACTATATTCTGAAATCAGATCTTAACCCCTGAAAACTTCTAAAATGGGAAGTACCTATTAAAACCTATCCTCTCCCCTCTCCTATGGGTTCCCCCTGCCCTGCCATCCACTTGTACTGTGTGATGGCTCAGCTCTATAAAGAAGCACTCCGCCTTAGTGTGTCTTCTGAAGTAGAGGAAGTAGGGTCTCCCGTGATTTCAGGGAACTGGATGTCCTTGGTCACAGTTGCATATTGTTTTGAATCCAGTCTAGGTAATTAATAACCTTGGTATATATACCAGGAACATCTTTCTGCCCACAGCCAATGCCCCAACTGATGATGCCAACCAGAGTCATGCGGTTGTCCTTCATACACACCAAGGGGCCACCTGAGTCACCCTGCAATAGAGAGAACAGGTTAGTTGTTTGCAAAAAACGCAGACTCTTTGCGGGGCGGCAGGGCGGGGCGGGGGGGGGGGGTAGTTAGGGTTAATATCTGTAGTGCTAATTGTTGTATTATTCAAAATTCAGAGAGGGAAATTTTTATCTCGATGATCTTGATCCTGTAGACAATTACGCTGTATCTACATTGCAAAGTAGAATTGAGATAATTGCTCAGATATTTCAGGCCACAACCCTCCTTTTAACTCTACCACTTACTAGCTGTGTGGCCTTAGGCTAACTATGCTTCAGTATTCTTATCTCAAAGATAGGGATCATACTATCTACTGTATGGGAGGTTGTTATGGGAATTAATTGGGAGAAAGCATGACATTTTGTAAAACTCTTGGTAAATGTTGGCTGTTATTGTCTTACTGAATCAAAATGATCTCTTGTTTTTGCTTTTAACTTGAAGCTTACAGATCATGGTTTCACTTTACATACAACCTTTTTATGACTGTTGAGCTAGGGGTACAGCTGAGGTTTCTGAAGAAACCATTCAAAAAGAGACAAAGGTTGTCAAGGAACTGAAGGGAAAATGCTGATATGATTTACCTTATAAGAACAAAGCCCACAAAGCCTTCAATGGAAGAGCCCTGCTTCCCTCTTTTTGTTTCCCCTCTAACCCCCAGCCCCTCGATGGAGAGCTTGGCACACTGTAGGCTCGAAAATGTCTCATCAGTAATGGGGCCTTGGTTATATTTCGGTCCTAATACCACCGTTGGTGTGTGTCCCATGCCAGTGCCCTGTTTTCATGAGATAGAAGTACCGACTCTGACAGAGAGCCTGACATAGTTTGCTTTCCCAGGCGAAAAACCTCATATTAGGGCTGATATGAGTTCTTAAAACTTCTTTCTCACAAATCATCTGGGTCATACTCCCCGGCAAGCTGCAGCTTCTCCTCCCCACCCCTACATGGCGGACTCCAATTCTCCAGCCCCTCCAGAAGTCAAGAATTGCTTCGTTTGTGTTGCTTTACCCATCACTTCAATAGTTGATCAATTGCCTGGGCTTACAGGAAACCCTGAATCAGGTGGAGTTTCCGGTGTAGACATTGGGGACATTTCCTGCAGTTTAGATTTCTTAGGTTTGGGTAACTTTGATCTCTCTCCGATTGTGTTATTTTGTTGAGGCCCTCATCTAGAATCTCTAGCACCTCACCAAAATGAACGCATCCATTCGGGCTATAACTTTTGTCTTGCTTAGGAACCTGTGGGCCGAGGACCACTTTTCCCCTCAGGTGGGCGAGACCCCCGTGTCTACCTGGCAGGCATCGTGCAGGTTTGCCTGGTTCCCGCCACTTCGCGTGTCTCCGGCGCACAGCATGTTGTTCGTGACGGTTTTGTTGAACAGATGCTGTGATGTGCAGCGGCTGGCCGGGTACAGCCTGACATGAGCCTCCTTCAGCCGCTCAGAATAGAAAGGAGAAGCTGAAACAGAGAAGGGAAGATAGCTGACCGTTTTAGGGAAAGTTATTTGTAAACCTTTTAGAAGGAGGAAGCCGACGTTTCTAATAATGGCTAACTTGGATCCAGCTTTCAGATCGATGAGGCTGAAGCCTACGAAATATTGTCAATATCGTTTTGACCGACAAAACCAGCTCTTTTATAGAGGTTAGCCCATGGTTTCTCAGGAGCAGCGCTACTGACATTTGGGGCCAGATCATTTTTTTGAGGGGGGCTGTCCTGTGCACTGCAGGTATTTGGCAGGTCCCCTCGCTTCGACTCACTAAATGTTAGTATAAACCTCCATCCTGAGTTGTAACAAGCAAAAATGCCTCCAGACATGGCCATTGTGTTCTGGGGAGCAAAAACACCCCAGCTGAAAACCACTGGCTTAACCTACTATCATTCAATTCTCATAATCTAAGGAGGTAGGCAATTCTACCCCCATGTGACCAGTGAGGGGGCCGAGGCTCGGAGCCGTGTAACATAAAAACCCGTCCTGGGTCCCACCGCTACAAGGTGCAGATCTAGGGTGTGGACTCGGGCCTGCATGAACAGAGAGGCGCAAGAGCCGCATACCCTCATCACCGGCCTCCACTTCTTATCAGAACCTTCCTGCGATCTTAGGCCCTTCGAAGAAGCACTTGTACTTTTCACCCCTTTCTTGACCTGCACAGTGACCCCGAGAGGTGGGGCAGGCAGACGTTGGTTCTTGGTCTGCAGGGAACTTGCCTACATTTACACAGCGTCAGTGCCTGAGCCAGGGCTAGAACTTTCTCATGACTTTTTCCTCTCAATAACTGCACGCCCCGCCATCCTGCAGACAGACAGGATGGGGCCGAGACTTCCTTCCACTTACACGCCTCATGCTTGCCGTAGCCAGACAGCTCGCATTCTGTCCAGTCGGGCAGCAGCAGGTTGGCCTCGGGGAGACACACGGTGCGGACGGCGTCGCTCTCCTGGGCGCAGTGTAGCGACTCCGACTTCAGTTTCAGCAGGACTGAGAGGAGAGCGAGAAGAGAATAAGCCCCATGCGATGCTCGTCTGATTGGAGGGGAGGAAGATGAAGAGAGGGCGAGGGTGTGGAAGGCCGAGGTGTGGATGCACATGGGTGGGTGTGTGTCGTGTCATCCGGAGCAGGGGGCATAGGACATCTCACCAATATCGTTGTTGTAAGTGTCGCCATCAAATTCCTCATGGATGATGTATTTTTCGACTTCAAATTTCTGTTCCTCCTCTCCAGGGACCTCTCGGTATGTTCTGCCCAAGACCACCCTAAGGTGGTGGGCATCGTACCTAATGGAGAAAGAGCCTTAGGACATGCTGCTCGCTGTGAGGCTTCTTCTAACGGGCCCCGGTTTCAAGGCCTCAAAGTCTAGGGAGACTGACTGGGTTTTCTGAAGTCCCTACCTCTCCTGGAAGCAGTGGGCAGCGGACAGGACCCAGCAGGAACTGATCAGTATTCCCCCACAAAAAAACTTCTCTCCTGGTGACCTCCTGCTCTTGACAAAGATGGCGGCCTGCCACGGATGGGACGTGATGTCTGTGTAGAGTCCTCCCTTAATGCGAAACTGCGGCTGCTTGTACTGTCTCTGACCACAGGTGGCTGGGAGAGGAAAGCACAGAGAAGGGAGATCAGACCTGCGGTCCTTGGGTGAGTTCCTTGAGCACCTATCTTGGTTTCCCCTCTTGGAACCCCGAGTTTCCACAGGCTTACTGCTTGTGTCCAGGCTACACAGAGGGACAGAACAGTGTCCGCGCTAACGAAAACCACAGCTCTCATCTGTTGGGTACATAGTGCACACCGACCACTGCACATACACTATCTTTAACCCTCACAACACTGAACTTCAGAGAGGCTGGGAAATTTTTGCCCAAGGTCACAGCGGCCCCCGGATTAGAACCCAGATTTGTCTGACTCCAAATGGGATCTTTCTGCCATGCTTCATTACCCCCCGTTTTCTCCTGCACCCGCCTCCTGGCTTCAGAAATAACGCGGCCCTGCAGCTCCCTCCTGGAGAATGTCTACCCTGTTTTCCATCTACTGCACCCTGTCCATCCTTCAAGGCCTAGGTGAAATCCCACCTCCTCATGGAGCTTTCTTCACACACCCAACCCACCGGCTCCGAGCGGGCTCACCGGTACTGCTCAGGGAGGACGCACCATGCATGGCCTTGGTTGTGAGTCCACTGGTAGTTTGTGTCTTACCTGCCCAGGTAGGTACTATGTTCCTTGAGAAACATTCTGGCTAATATGTGTGTTCACAGGAATGGACTAATACTAATCTATTCTCAGACAATTTCTAAACTAAAGTTTTTTAGCAAAATGTGCCAACTTGAATTTCCTCTCCGTCTTCCACTCCCTCCACCCACCCAGGTCCCCTGTGTGAAACGGGCTCTGTGAGAAAGGCTGGAAGAGTTCACAGCAGAAGTAGCAGCTGTGGGGTCAGAGGACGTGGGATCAGACCCGGGCTCTGCTACTCGGAGCCCAGTGAGCTTGGGCAGGCCATGTGACTTCTGAGCTGGTTTCCTCATCCAGAAACCGAAGACAGGAAGACTGCCTCTCACCACACTGTCAGGAGAACGCTATGAGAGCACTTTGTTATCTAGGGAGCCGTATACGTGAGCTATCCTCCTCCATGCTCACCATGACCTCATCATTGATCATTAATAAAGGCATCTGGAGAGAGAAGTTCAGAGCCTAATGAATTCTAAGAGAAACTGGCCGTTCTTCTCTTCCGTTTTGCCCCTCTGCGTCACCCTCGTGCATGAGAAGTGAACACCTGCCCAGAGAGTTGTCATCCCGCCATTGCTTCAGTCATGGAGACTCCCCCACCAAGGCCTTCCTGAAAATCTGGGAGCTACACAGTCTGAACCAGACAGCTGTGAGGACACAGGAAGTGGCGGAGGGAATGGTCAGTAAGGGGGGCTGGGCAGCGGGAGGTGGCCAAGGGCCAGCCCTTACAGCACTGGGGCACGTCACAGTATTCCCACGTCAACTTGCGGTCCTTCAGCACGTGGCACCAAGGCTTGGCATCCCCATCTGGGTTCCTAGATGGTAAGAGAGTTTAAGGTTTTCAAGCACATCAGAAGCCACGTGAGAGCAGGAGGAGGCTCAGTAAACCAATGGCAAAACAATGAGCTGGGAAGGAGGGGCCTGAGTTCTGAACTTGGCTCTGTGCGAGATCTCACCAGAGGAAAACAACTTTAATTTTGTTTTTCTATCAGCAACACAACATTCCCCTCTCACAGGGATGTTGGAAGGGACTGTGAGCTGTGCTGTGAGGACAGTCTTGTGATTCCCTGGGAGAAAGGAGCCAGACAAGAACAGAACCGATGAGGACTAAGTGGCTATGGGACAGTACCTCGAACGTGGGATGTGGGCTGACAAACTGGTGAACTTCCCTCTTTATAATAGGTGTTATTCTAGCGAGTGAATGGGTGTGACTAGAGAATACCCATGGTTCCTTCCCACCCACTGGGTCTTTCATGTAACTTGAGGCATGAAATCTCCTACCCCACGTCCCAGTGCTGCCTTCTGCCCAGACATGAACCCCACAGACCTGGTGCTACGTACCGGCAGTGATTGTGGTTGCCCAGGCCCAGGGCCTGAGAATTGGTCCTCCACGCTGTGTAGAACTTGCCTTTTAGGACTATGGAATTCCACTGGAGGCAGGAGGCACCAGACGTAGTGCGGCTGTAGGTGCCACGGTATGCTAACCCTTTACCAAAGTAGCAGTCCTCATTTTTTTCTGGAACAGAAGAAATCTCAAACTGAAACAAAACCAATTAAATGCTACAGCAGGCGAGTCGGGGTTTGCAGCAGGCCCTGAGCGGGGCTGCTGGCCTGAGAGGATGAAGGCAGTTAGCCTGCCCGTAGGAGGGAGGAGACACCATCCCGCTCCCCTCTTTCCTCCTCCTTCAAGGCCTTTGACATAGGGATGGTAAATGGCTTTCAGTTGGGGGGCCAACTTTCATCGGTTGGATGCGGCTGCCTGGTTTGCTGTGTTGAGAGATTCCGAGGGTTTGTTCACGTTCGGCAGGAAGGGTCTATGCCCAGTTAGTAGCGATTATTGCTGGAGCTGCTTTGAAAGTAACTGGGGGTTTCCTTACTTATACTTGACAGGTTGTGCAAAGCAGAGTTCTTCAGTGGAGGGACACGTCAGAGGCCCCAGTTTCTCAGATTTTGTCTGCAGTGCTCTGAAGGGTTTGTTGGGCTTGAGCAGGAAGAGAGCATATGGACCTACGGATGCTGCCTATTTTCACCGATTTGCCCCATTTTAGCCTCCTTTCTCCCCATTTGAAACTGGCAGAGTGTACCACTATAAACAGCATAATTAAGGCGATCTTTAACGCCACCTAGACTAGTGAGTCCCAATTTACTGATCCTGGGAGGGGAGAGGATGCTTTAGAATTACTATAAAGAGTCCTCAAATTCACAGGTATGTCAGATTTACCTGTAGGCAGAAGGCACATTATTATTGTATATGAATATTTAGAACTTTAAAACACATGTTTAATACTATTGGGATATCATTATTTGTAAAAGCACCACAGAGTTCATAGTGCTTTTTTATAATTTAGTATTTTTGAATTTGGAAAATCTTCTCATATTAAACATCTTAAAGAGAAAGAGACTGAGAAAAAGGCCCATCAATCACAAACGGGAGCATCCCCATTCATCCTCAAAAGGACCGGAAAGCACCAATGCAGCCCCCCTTCTCCTCTGTACATGAGGAAATGGGGGGCCCGGGGGGTAAAGAGGCCAGCTCAAGGTCCAACCGCTAGTTAGAGGCCAGGCCCGGGTGAGGACCTAAGTCTCCTGACTTTCTTCCCTCTGCAACCAAAATGATGAACCACCAGCCCACTCCTTAGTCTCCTCAGTTGTAGAAACACTATCAGCTTGGTTGTCCTAGGCTCTACTTCTGGGGACGCTGCCCGGGAGGGTGGGCAAGCAGCACTTACCCTCGGGGCAGGCTGGCGTGCTGCAGAACTCACTGCTGTACTTGCCCGCCTTGAAGACGTAGCACCAGGGCCTTGAGTCCCCGTCCGGGTTTCTGAAAAAGCAGCCAGGGAAGGCCGGGGGAGGTGACAAGTGAAGCCTCCCTCTGAGACCCAAAGACTTTGCATCCTCTTCCAGGGAAAAGGTCAGTGCACTTTCGGCGGTCCACCGGGGAGCTGGCTCATGCTGGGTGGAAGTATGACTTAGCTACCGTCTGCATTCTGAGACTAAGTATGCTTTAAGGAGGTGTGCACAGAAGCCATGTTGACAAGGGCTGGCCTGTGGTGTTTAGTTTTATGGGTTAACTTGGCTCTAAGTGCCCAGTTATCTAATCGAACGCTAATCCAGCTGCCACCGAGAAGAGATTTTGTAGCTAGGGTTAACAGCCGCAATCAGCGGACCTCAAGTAGAGGAGATTATCCTGTATCATGTGGCAGCCTCATCCAGCCTGCGGAAGGCCGTCGGGGCAAAAGCTGGGAAGACCTCTGCCTCCAGACCGCGACAGCAAAGCCCGTGTGAGTTCGCAGCCCGCGGGCCTGCCCACAGGCTCCAGACGGGCCAGCCCCGCGCCCCCCGCGCCCCCCACGCACGTCGCTGCATCGGTAGAGAAGGCGCCCGTTCTGTTTCCGTGGAGCCCGCCGCCTGATGAGCCCCCCCCGGTGGTGTCCCCAGCTGTGGCCGCTCCTCCCCAGCGGGAAGCGAGCTCACGCGGGAAGGGGGGCCCCGCACCTGCAGTAATTGTGATTCCCGAGGCCCAGCTGGATGGCGTTGGGCCTCCGGCCCGAGTAGCGCTTCAGGGCCAGCACGCTGCTGTTCCAGTTCACACACTCGGCCCCGCTTTCCGCGGTGCTCCACGTGCCCCTGTAGGTGATACCCTGGTCCTTGTAGCACGTGGCACTGGCATCTGATTGACAACAGGACACATGGGGCACCTGGGTGGCTCAGTCATGATCCCGAACTCCCGAGATCGAGCCCCGCCTCAGGCTCCCCGCTCAGCGGGGAGTCTGCTTCTCCCTCTGCCCTTCACCCCACTCATGCTCCCTCTCTCTCTCAAATAAATAAATAAAATCTTTAAAAAAAGAGAGAGAAAACAGGACACGTGACGCCTCCCATGTGCATTCCCCCCTCTGCCATTTAGTTTTCCAAAGGGGTTTCACGTCTGCTCTGGCGTCACCCCAAACCAGCGAGGCGGGCTGGCTGCTGAAGCTTCTGGGGCGCAGGAGGTACACGGGGTGGCCAGGCTCCCCCAGGCAGACCCCAGCTTGGCACCCAAGGCTCTGCCCGCTGCGCCCAGCACTCTGGCTTCCTAACGGACCCTTGGAGGACCCTTCCCTGTCCCCACCCCGCCCCCGTCACCACACACTTCCTCTCCTTTCTGGGAAGACCTGGGATTCTGGCCCTCTTCTCACACCACCCACCCACCACTCACCTATTTCGCAGCGTTTCCCCAAAAAGCCTTCAGGACACTCGCAGACAAAATCTGAGAAGTAGAGAGCCTGCCGACACGCCCCGTCATTGAAGCACCTCTGTTCGCTGCAAACTGTCAAGGACAAACAAGGAAGCCCCAATCACTTTCACAGCAGTTCCAAGGATAACAGGGGTTAGGATCTGAGGAGTGAGCTCCGCCTGCCAGGCACCAGTCTCGGCGGTTGACAAAAGGAGCTATCTTTTCCCTTGGCAAACCGTGAGGTAGGTGCGCCCATTCTCCCCATTTGACGGAGGTGGAAGCTGAGGCCAGGCGGAAGTCGAGGGCCCCAGGTCAGTCTCACTCTCCGGCTCAGCGCCTCCACCTTAGCCTGAGGCCCAGCACGCCCAGAACCTCCATCTGAAGTTGCGCCCCGCGGGACCGGCGACACACGGGGCGTGGGCCGGAGAGCGGGGCGCGCGTACGTACCCCTGACGGGCACCGAGTGGCAGTGCGCGCGGCCGGCCATGCAGCGGCAGTACTCCACGCGGTTGCCCCGCAGGCCCGGGCGCAGCCACGCCTCGCTCTGCAGGTACAGCGTCTGCGTCTTCTCGTCTCTGCAGCCCACTAGAACGAGGGACAGGCGGCCTCTTGAGGGCACGATCCCCAAACGCTGCCGCCCCACCGCGGGTCCTTCTGAGAGTCCCTCACTCACTTGTCATACAACCCACCCTTCATCCCTTCCCTGCTCCCGGCCCGAAGACAACACACACCTGCGAATCTGTCACCAAAGACCGCTTCTATTGTTCTTCCCTGGCGGGGCCCTCATCTCGGAAGACTTTATCAAAATGCATTTACTAAGTAATACTCTACTTTTTCATTATATTTTATGTTTTTATTTATTTTTTTAAAGATTTTATTTCTTTGAGGGAGAGAGAGGGTGAGCAGGAGTGGAGGGGAGAAGCAGGAGAAGCAGGCTTCCTGCCGAGCAGGGAGCCCGATGTGGGACTCGATCCCAGGATCCTGCGATCATGACCCGAGCCGAAGGCAGATGCCCAACCGACTGAGCCACCCAGGCGCCCCTAATTTTTCATTTTAATTCATCAGAAATATGCACACGTATATAATTGCCTACCAGAGTTATTGATCCACATGAGTGTTACCACACTGAAATGACACATTGCTAGCCCAAAAGAAAGAAAATTCGCATCTTAGTCTGTGTGGGGAATGTGCTGCTCTCACTAGTATCTTTGATATAATGAAAACGGTCTAAGTACTCACACTGATATTCTAGCCCTCTTTGCCTCTCTGTTTGCAAACCAGAATGCCAACTTAAGAAATCTTCAACTTTTCATGAATTAAAGAAGTGACACATGCTCATTGTAAATAATACTGTTGTTTCTTTTGAGGGTCCCCTGGGGCCAGGATACCGTTGTCGGAAATGCTGTGCTATCCAACAGCAAAGGCATTAAGAGTTGCTTTATGGGTGAATAGTGTTGGGGCGCCTGGGTGGTTCAGTCAGTTAAAGCGTCTGACTCTCGGTTTTGGCTCAGGTCATGATCTCAGGGTCTCAGATTGAGCCCCATGTTGGGCCCTCTTGAGCC